TTTCCTGGGCTTTGAAGAAGCAGGATGTAAGAAGTTCTGTTCCACTCAACAGAACCTGTTCTGCATCCTCTTTTCAAAAAGATGAGAATTTCACTGCTGCTGTTTTCCAATCGATCCCGCTTTTGGCTGAGCCTCAGGATCGCCTTGCCTTCCTCAAAAAAGTCCACCCAGGCCCCTCCAGCCGTGTTTGCTCCCCAGCCTGAAGGGAGCCAGAGAGAAGGCGCCTCACCCCAAGAGTCCTTGGGATGGAATTTCCTATCCCTGCGACAGACCACCCCACCCCCCGGCCGCAACGTTCTCGTGAAGAGCCCCCTCTCCACACCTTGTAGGGTCTTCCCTCCCGCCTCTCCATCGCCTTAGCAAAGACCGTTGATTTCGAAAAAGATGGAATGAGCTTTTCCCCCACCTTATTTTTATTCCAGGAAGACAAAATCCAATTTATACAAAGCATCAACTAAGCCTCCTTGAGAGACTAACAAAGAGCTGCTCCCTTGCGCAGATCTGAAATACAATCAAATTGGGCGAGCCTCTCGCTGCCTCTGGGAGCAAGATCTAATCTGTCCTCATTGGAGGGGGGGGGGAGGGAACGTTGGGATGTGGACCTGCAGAACTGCCCCCCTACAGCCACAGCCCCCCTTCCCCAGCAGATGGGCCTTGGAGTCTGTTGCACTCTGCAGGGCCGGCTCTAGGAGAGGCGCAAGACAGAGTCCGTCTCTGGGAAGGGTGGCAGGTTGAGCGCGTACTTCTTCTGCAGGGCCTCGGGCACAAACCTGCCCCCCAGGAAATGGTAGCGCCCCTGGAAGTGCCGGGCCGCCTTCTTGGGTGCTGTGAGCGAAATCAGCATGTCCGGCTGCAGCCCCTCAGGACTCCCCTTCTCCACGTCCCAGCCTGGCAAGGAGAGGAAAGGGGGCAAAAGTGAGCGAAAGGCAGGCTGTCTGCAGGGAGCCGGCCGAGGGCCCGGCTTGCCCCAAGGCACCAAAGGCAGCACCGCCCTGGCCCTCCGGCTTAGTTAAACTGCAGAGCCCTCGACCCCCCCCCTTGGCAAAATCACCCCCGTTTTCTCCAGATTTCAGGGGGAGGCAAAGCAGAACCAGAACAGAAGGAGAACATGAAAAATTCAAACAACACCGAGTGGAGGTCAGCAATAGAAGAGCCAGAAGAGTTAAACCGGCCCCCCGCTTCCTCTGTTTCTTTTGGGGGGAGATCTGTGGAACCCCCCCCCTGCACAGATCTGGAGCCTCTGGGGAGAATTGAATGAAAGGGGAAAAAGTATTTTATCTATTCCAAATTACAAGTCTAGAATCTGTTAAAAGCTAAATTTCTCAGCACTGGCCCAAATTCTATTCCCTGACCTGAATTCTCCAAAACTGCTCTCCAGCGCAATTACTTCTGGGGCTCAGCAGAGCTTATTTCTGGGAGGGAAATTTGGGTGGGCAACAGAAGAACAGAGGCCGGCATGAACCAGCCCAAGCTTTTCACCCCACCTGGGCCAAACGTACCGGAAGGAATATCGATGCTGACCACAGGGATGGTCACCTTTTCCAAGGTGCTCAGGATTGTGCCGAAAGGCTCCCGCACGGCTCCCTGGAAGCTGAATCCAAAGATGGCATCCACCACCAGACCGTAAACCTCGTCGATGAGGGCAGCCTGCGATGGAAATCAAACTTGCGTGAACACACCTCAAGGGTGCAGATGGAGACGAGATGCTTCAGTCCAGCCGTCCCCAACCGGGGGCTCTCAATCTTGGCACTTGAAGATGGGTGGATTTCAACTCCCAGAATCCCCCACCAGCCTTAACCAGGAGCTGTGGTGGCGCAGTGGTTAGAATGCAGCATTGCCAGCAGTTTGATTCTCACTGGCTCAAGGTTGGCTCAGCCTTCTGAGGTCAATAAAAGGAGGACCCAGATTGTTGGAGGGAAATTATGACCACTGCAAACCGCTTGGAGGGGGCTGTAAAGCACTGTGAAGCGGTTTATAAGTCTTAAGTGCTGTTGCTATTAACCCTAACACACCCTTGCAGAACTGCATCTCAACCTTGGCAGCGTGAAGATGGGTGGACCTCACTTTTCTTTTTGACTTACTTCAGATGGAAACTCTGTGAGGAACGGGATCTCCATCTTCTTACACTGGGTGGTTAAACCTTCAAAAAGTGGCTTGTTGGGGCGTTTGGGATAATAGAGGGTCGGCTCGTAGCCCTGTAAAGACAAGAAGGTTGACCTGTTGCTGCTGGAAGGCATTTCTGGTCTCTCTGGGGTCAGCTTTCTTCCTTGATGCCTTTTGTGCGACCACAGTGCGAGAAGACTTCCTCAATGGGCGGAAGGCCAGCCATCCAAACATGGCACAAACACTCCTCCATGGGCAGAGGCTGGCAAGCCTGAGGCTCAGCTGCTGGGGGGTGGGGTGGGGGGCGCATTGCAAGTGTTCCCTGCCGCAGCACTTACAAACTCAACCGGGAAAGGTGCAAATCACTCACAAACATTTTCAGATGACGGGCACAGACTAATCCATCTCCACCGTTGTTCCCAGGGCCGCACACGATCAGCACCGCTGGCTGGCTGATGGTGAAAGTACTGGTTGGGTATGCCTTGGGGAAAAGAGGTTCATCCTGAGAATGACAAATTTCTTGGGAGACCCACAAACACAAAAGGGATAGCGGGAAACAGTGTCAAGATTCCTAATCCTAATCTAATGAAATGCAAGGGTTCTAGTCCTCAAAAGTCTATACATAAGCTCCTTGAAATAGATAAAACTGGACACAGAGTTTTAGGACTCCTGGATTTTGTGACCTTCAACCATAAATAGAGTTTTATACATTTGCATCATATTCCCAGTCCCCTCACTGATGTCTACTTAAAAGGAAGATAGTTATTCCCTCACCCCAAAAGGATAGAAAAAAATATCAGTGAAAGATGATTGATAAGTTTTGGACCCCTGAACTGAAGATCTGTTACAAAACATTGCTTTCAGTGGTGGACCTATATCTTGGGACCTATAGAATTATAACGGCTACATACAAAGACTATAAAAATTATGTGAGACATTGCTGTATCGACTCTAAGATTGGTTGCGTTAGATAAGGCTAATACTTGGGGAATACAATAGTTTTGACAGAATATTTGGAGAGGGAAACAAAATGGGAATCTATATTGAGGAAGTGAATATGTATTAACAAATGGACCCAGACAACACGCTGTTTACTTATGATTTGTAAAAACTGAAAATTAATAAAATATTTTATAAAAAAAGAAATGAAAGATGATTCTTTTATTTCATCCCATTGGAAACATAAATTATTTGGAGAGAACTTTCTTTTCAAGGAAACACTGTCCACGCACACACACACACACACACACATATACAGAGGCCAAAAGCTCTATAATTCCTACGCAACTTTCACAGAACTTAACTCTAATGGGGGGTTAAGAGAATATAAATACTGCATTTTTATATCATGCCATGCTGCACACAACCCTCTCCTTCACATGAACATGGGAAGGCGCACGGATGCCAGCATCCTTCACTCTCAGCTCCGCTCTCTCATCATCAGAACATTGTACAAACCCAGCTTTTCATTCTCTGGAAACAGAACTGCTCGAGACAACAAGGTGAAGGTTTTGGCTTCCCCTGCAGCTGGCCTTTGCCCGGAATTCCTACAGCTGAGCCGAGCCCCCCCCCCCCCTTACCTTGGCAATGGCCGTGGCACAGCTGAGACCCGCCAGCTCCATCAGCTGGTCCACGCTGAACTTGTACTCCTCAAAGAGCTCCTGGTCGATGGCCTGGGCTTCTTTCTGCCTGGAGGGGACAGGAGGGAACTGCTGAGCCCAGGCCCCATTTCCATTGCATCTAGGGTTGCCAGGTGTCCACTATTTGAGTGGACAGTCCACTTTTTTCACATTAGGTTCACTATTTTTTTTCACAAAATAGTGGACATTTTTTTTATTCAAAAGCTTTATGATGAAATGGTACATAATCTAAAGCTGTACAGTCTACTTTTTTTTACTACTTAACCCCCCCCCCCGCTTGTCCACTATTTTTTGGAAGCAGACCTGGCAACCCTAATTGCATCCACA